CGGGCCGGGACGCGGGCTGGGCCGGGGGCGGAGCGGCCCCCTCTCCGCGCTCCTAGCCGCCGCGGCCCGACGCTCTCCCGGTGTGATCGCGGCGCTCCAGGGCTCGCGCACTTTGCAGGAAAGTGGAGCGAAGTGTGCATCTCCTGGGCGGCGGAGCCCGGGGGCTCGCGGTGCCCGCAGCGCAGGTGGGACGGGGGCTGCTCCGGCCTGGGGCTCGGATTGTGCAGCTGAGGCTGCGAGTTTTTCCTACGGAGTGGAGACGTGATCTGTGGATTCTGAGATTGCCCCTGCCCCGCTCCGGGCCTCAGTTTCCCCCATCCGGAGGAAGCTGTGCGTGGGACCCCAGGCTGGGTCCACTGGGCGATGCTGTTGGTTGTGTCCGGTGACATCTGGAAGGCGTGCGTTCCGGAGCTGGCAGCGGAGCGGCTTGCTTTTATACCTGGCAACATTGTTTCACTGGAACCCATTCATTGCTTACATCCCAGTTGCCAAATCCAAGTAGGCACAATGTATGTTCTTGGCGCTTTCCTTACATTTTGCTGTTGTGCTTTGGCTGTCGGATGAGTCCTTGGACAAAAGATAAAGAATAGCGAAGTCGTTGGTTTGAAGGTAGACTCTAAATTTAGAATCAGAGGGTTTGCCTTTATGTGTTGGATGTTTCTTTTACTGACTGTACAAAAAAATAGTTTTACTGGAAGATTATGGTGAATAGGTTTCTTTAAATCACAAGCGTAAATCCAAAAAAATGCACCAGACGATAAAATTATGTAAACTGAAAACACCAGTACTTTATAAGCGGGAAGTATGAATTTTAGCATAACTGTGTAGAGTTATGTAGGCTTACGTCATGCTTTTCAATGGTTGTGGATATCATGGATCGAGCCTTGTATTCTTCAGACACCCTGTTTGTCTGGGATGCTGATTAAGGAATATGCCAAATGTTCCGCTGAGTGTTCTCAGAGCCACGGAGCACACTATTTGAGAGAACACTGTAAAATGAAGGTTTTGTACCCAATAAGACAAATCTAAGGATGTTAAGATACAAATCTAAGGATGTTAAGATACACAAATCTAAGGATGTATCTTAAATTGTCACGTCTGTTAATAAAACAGGTTTTTTATCCCGAGCTCTAGAGTTGAATGTCCCACTCATCTTTAGGAGGATGGAGGAATGCCTAGTACTTGTAACCATTATCTTTTTAGTTGTTTGAAGGTGCAAATATATTACGTGGTAAGTCGTGGAGAGCTCTAAGGAGCGAGATTAGAGTGTTCGCAACTGTGAGTGTTGATAAAAATGTGGGTCGGCAGTGTCGGACAGGCCAGCCTATCAGCTGTCTCTCCTGATTGAACAGCACATAGCTCCCTGGTTTTGCTTTCACCTGGAGATTTTGTTCATTTGTGGTGTGCAGTTAAGTTTCCTTAGTTTAGAAACCCTAATTAAAAATGTATGACTACATTCTTCCCAAGTAAAATGCTCTCCTATTTTTCTTGTTAAAATTTGTCTTATTAACAGAATTCATTATAAGTATCATCTTCAAACCAGAGTGTGCTAACTGCCTGGTTTAATATTTAATATTCATGATACTTTTCATGTGTATTATGAGTAGTATCATTGTCTAATTTGCTTTTAGAGTTTATTTTATTTTCCTCTATGCGTTTATACTGAAGTTATACTGGCTTTTTTTGGTATTTTATAAAAGTGTTTGAAAATATCCTTAGGATTCCGTGTTTCCTTAGTTTCCCATTGCTAGTTGAATGCTTATGAGGCAAATTTTTAAAAATTAAAAATAAGGCAAATTCAGTAAAATATGGCTAAGTACATAGCAATTGAAAGTTATAAGCATTTTTATGTCATACTCTGATTAAAATTCTAAATTATATAATTTGCTAAATTATTACTTCTTTTCAATTTTTTTCACGGTGCTGGGATTGAACCTGGGACCTTTTTACTGAGTTATAGCTCTGGGCCCTTTGCCCTCCACCCCACCCTACCCCACCCCACCAGGAATTGAACTCATGACCTTGTGCTTGCCAGGCAGGTGCTGTGCTGCTAATCTAAATCCCCAGCCTGCTCCAGGCCCTTTGAAAATTTGTTTTGAGGTAGGGTCTTGCTGTGTTACCTAGGCTGGGTTTGAACTTAGATATTTTCCTGCCTCAGCCTTCCAGAGTGCTGGGATTACAGGCATGTACCACACTTGGCTCTCTCTTATGATTAGGATTTTTGGGGCACTTATTTAAGGCAATGTATTAACACTAAACAGAATTTTAAAGTGTATGATTTTCTTTTTTTTCTATGAAGTTTTTATTTTTGGTTGTGATGGGGGTCCTCCAGGGAGTGCTGCTGAGCTACAACCCCAGCCTTTTAAATTTTCATTAATTTATTTTTAATTTTGAGACAAGAACTTGGGATTCTCCTGCCTCAGCTTTTGAGTAGCTGGGATTACAGGCATGTACCCTTGTGCCTGGCTAGCATTTTTATTCTAAAACTGCAAACACATGTATGCTTAATACTAAGTTATCTTAACTAAGGAAGGTGAATACATTTGGTCTTAGCAATGCTAACTTTTTTAAGTGAAAACATCTTTGGCGCTCCTTGTGCTCAGGGAGTAAGAGAGAGCACTGTAGTAGGAGCTCAGAGTTCCTAAAATGGAAGTTAGAGCGGCTTGCCCAAGACGGTAACAGGCACCCATTGTTGGGGGTCCCAGGGGTGGGGCAGAGGATTAGCCAAGGGCTGCAGGAAGTGAGAAATTTGTGTAAAGTTGTATGTTTAGACTTTAAAAATTCCTGTGTGGTTTGCCACTACACCTTAATAGGCCCATCTGCTATACCTTAACACATGTATTCGGCAAGTGGCCGAATTTAAGGGGTAAAAGGTGGTGGCTAAGACCTTGAACCTTGGAGTCATACACATGAGTTTTCTCCCTGGGCAAATTTCCTTGTGTTTCAAATGATATTAATAGTGCTGGCCTCCTAGGATTATCTATGAAGCTTTAAACCGCGTAATGGACCCCGCACATGGGGAGCACTCGGAGTTGCAGTGGCCGTCATTATCATTACTATTACTGTGCCCTTGTGATTTTTTTGTTACAGTGGGGATTTCTAGTCCTGTTGAGTGTTAAGCAGTAGCTAAAGCAGTAGGTTCTGAGTCATCTGCAGAGGGCTGCTTTCGGCAGCTTCACGGAGGCAGTTTTCCCTTGGGTTTGTCAGCCGTTTTAGACATGCATTAACTCATCCCGCTAGAGTGTCATTAGTATATTGCTAGGGGCTTCTTGTGTTCCCCTTGAGGCCACCGGGAATCAATGCACGTTTGTCACTCCCTGACCTGCCTCGAGGTAATGAGACACTTACACATGGAGTGGACGGAAGCCCTGGCCCACCACATTTGTTTTATTTTAGTTTTTAACAGTTAATATTCATTGAGAATGAAATATGTGCTGAGTACTATGCTAAGTACTTCTGATGGCCTCATTTCCTTCCACTTTCTCAGCAGTTTTGTTAGCTGGATGGTGACCTCCCAGATTTCTTGGATTAAAGCAATGCCTGGTGCTGAGCTTTTCTTTGGCTGATAGAGGATGGGCTGTATTGCTTTTTTTGGGGTGCTGGAGATTGAACCTAGGGCCTCTGCACTCAGCTACATCCCCAGCGCTTTTTTATATTTTTAGACAAGGATTCACTCATTTGCTCAGGCTGGACTGGAACTCAGGATCTTTTTTGCTTCAGCCTCCCATGCCATGGAGATTACAAGCATTCGCCACTATTCGAGGCAGCTCCATTTTCTAAATGCCTAAATGTTCTCAGTGTACACCTGGGATTGGGTAAATCAGTGAGAAAACTGAGCTTATTTTATGATGATGATAAATAGCATTAGTCATGTTAACCTTTTTACCATTTATGATTATATGGGAAAGAGGAGACAGGACAGGTGGTTTCTCATTTTATAGAAAAGCTTTGATGTCAAGATAAGGGATACTCCAGGAGCCACACAAGTAGTATCAGAGCTAGACCTAGGACCAGGTCTTTCACTCTTGTACATTGTATTCCATCAACTTATTTTCCTTTTTTTGTTGTTCGGTTTTGTTAAATGGTTCTTGTTACTGTGTGATAGGAATACTAGGGCGAGTGAAGAGTGATACTCAGGAAACATTGTGTGATTATTAGAGTTATCATCTTGGAATCTGTGAGCCCTACAACTTCTCTCTTTAAATGAGTAACACTTCTCTTTTTACAGACACTATCAGCAAGGAGGAAATGAAGTTTGAAGCTTTGTTTCCTTGCTGGGAAGGACCATATCATTCTAGTATATTAAATGAGTAATTTAGATATAGGGATAATCTTCATAGATACAGTTTAATCCTGCCAAAAGTCCCTTTATATAATGGTCAATAAAAAAGGAAGAAACCTATGCTTTGCATTACTGAGCAAGTTTTTCTTTCTCTGCCCTCCTCCCATAGGAGGAAAGCAGCCAGAGACATCAGCCTTTGAAGCCTGCGAAGACAATCCTGAGCAGCGATTGTGATCGGAGTGCGGTTACTGCTAGACACCTGCTGCGGAGCTCTGAAATGAACCTCTCACGCTGATCGTTTTATTATCTGGGAGGCAGGAGTACTGGATTCCACGGACTTCAGGCTAAGGAGCAAACAGTCCTGATCGTTGTCACAGACCTCTGAACCAGTGTGATGGTGAAATGAGATGAGGCTCCGCAATGGAACTGTAGCCACGGCGTTAGCGTTTTTCACTTCATTCCTTACTTTATCCTGGTACACCACCTGGCAAAATGGGAAAGGTAAGGGGAATGTGTCTGGCAATGTGTGTGACATGCGGTGGGCTTTCTGCCTGGCAAATAGTGCAGAAATGCTTAGGTTAAATATCCTAGCAACCTGCCTGTTGCATTCTCTCTGCTGGCGGTTTCTTTTGACGCAAAAACAAAATGATATTCTTGGACAGAGCAGACAGAATTTCTAATTTCAATGGGGTTTGTTTTGTTTTCAATTTCTTACAGTTGCACTGGGAGAAAGAAATAGATACTGATCAGTGGTTTATAGTATACTTGACAGCCAAGTTGAATAACAAAGACTTTTCTTTGGCATTTTTAAACTAATCATCATAAATGTTTAATAAGCTTTCTTGCACTGGGTGTTGTATAACACTTAAAAGGACATAATCAGTGCCTTCATGAAATTTACATGCCGATTATGCTAATGTTTGGTGCTATGTAGTTAATGATTTAAACTGCATGCCTTGACTGATTTCTCCTTAGGCAAAAGTATTTACCAGGGGGCAGGGGAAAATTCTGATTGGAATAATTTTTTAAAAAGTGTGTTTAGATTATTGAACTGTGTTTTGATGGGAAGTCATCTGTTTATTGACTGGAATTATATTTTGGGAAATGCATTTCTTTGTCTTTTTTTTTTTTTTTTGGAGGACAAACTATGTGGAATAAATTCATTTTACCTCTTTTCTTTAACCTGAGGAATGGCAGAAGGGTGGAGGAAGGAAGGTGTGCACATTTATTTTAATTAATTCAAGTTAGAGTAATCATCTCCTGGGGTATTTGAAGATGCCATTGCTGGCCTCATGGTATTGAGTCATGTGAAGACAACCAAAAAGATTGTTCTGGATCCAATTTTGTTTTCTGATCTGTGTATTAGGTAACATATCTCTGTGTGTGCACTTATATTTTATGCATATGTATTTTTTACACATGTGCATCTCTGTGTATAAAACAAGCAGTTGCAAAGCTGGGCATGGTGATGATACATGCCTATAATTCCAGCACTCTGGGAGGCTGAGGCAGGAAAATTGAAAGTTCAAGCACAGCCTGGATGATTAACAAGACTCTGTCTCAAAAAATTAAAAAAGGGGCTGGGGACGTAGCTTGGTGTCACTGCGCTGGGTTCAGTAATCAATACAATAAGCAGATGTAAATGAAAGACATATGCTTGGTGCTATATGCAAGTATAATATTCTCTTCCCACTCCCTTTGAATTGGGCCCTAATCTTGGGGGAAAAAAACAAGTAAAAATTTGCTAAAGGCAAATTCTTAGTGTAGAGATATATTCTCTTTCAATTTTAGCTTCTAATTGTAGCAAGTGAGAAGACTCGCTCAGGAAGACTCTTGAATAGTTACTTAATCAAACTGTGGATCAGCCTTGACATAAGCTAAAGAATGATCGCTGTTAAAAATCTACTTATGAAATAAAAGAATTGACTATAACCGAAATATGTGGGTTTTTTCTTATTAGGAAACTTAGTATTGTAGTCATGGAGAAACTTGATCCTTCTCATTGTGTCTTATTTAAAAGATTTAAGATTTTGGGCATTAGAAGTATTGTTATTTTTATTCAGCTGACTTTAGCTTCAGAATTAGTTCCAAGGAGGTAAAGATTGACTGTAGCGTTAGACACACACAGAGCCGGTTGGTTGTCTGATCTTCGCCCTTTGGACAGCCCTGTGGTCTTCTGTACGTTCTCTTCTCACCTGCTGTTTTCCTGCGTACTGGTTTGTCCACACTCTCCCAGGGATCAGCACCAGCCTCCCGTTTCATTCATGTGAAATCCCATTTTGAATTGTTCTCGCTTATGTAACCACTCTGTCGAGCATTTGGATTCTTTCTAGATAGTTCGGGCCATCAGCCTGGATCTTCCAAGGCAGACTGATTTTAGGTATTCGAGTCTAGTATACCCATAAACAGTGTGTTCTGGTTTTTATTTGAAAATATGATTAAATGCATAACCTTTGTCTTTGGACTAATATTACCTCCTACCCTCCTGCCCCATATTGGGTATTAAACTCAGGGTGTTTGTGCTGAGCTATACCCCACCCCTTTTTTATCTTTTATTTTAAGACAGGGTCTTGCACAGTCACTAAATTGCACGGCGTGGGCTCAAGCTTGCATTCATCCTGCCTCAGCCTTTCAGAATGCTGGGATTACAGGCTTGGACTAATAGTTGTTATTTTTCATTCATTCACTGGTCCCTTACATATACCCATCCCATGTCTAGCACTGTGTTATATGCTATGGATATGAAAAGAAATAAGAAACTTCCTGTCGGGAAAAGATCCATGTGAACAAATACGATGGCATCAGCAAGAATGAGACAAGGGCAATCACAGTGTACTTGTCCTGTTCTAAGCATGTTGTGTGTATCACCTCATTTAATCCTCGTAACTCTGGGAAACAGTGTCTCCTTCCTGTGGACGAGGAAATCAAGGTGGAATGATGAGACACTTAACAAGATCACGCATTAAGTTGTAGGGTTGAAGTTTTAACTCACAGGCTGGTTGATTGCAGAGCTTGTGCTTTTACCTACTGGTCTACTGCACAGAGAAGTAGAGATGGAGGCTGCTGATTCTTCTGGTGCTCCCTGGAGGAGGCGAAATGTGAAGGATTAATGTGAAGCCAGGGCAGGCAGAGTAGGGGATGCTTTGTGTCTCAGGTGCAGGGAGCTGTGTGTGCAGCTACAAGGAAATGAGTGGAGTGTGCTTTGCAATCCTGAGGTGCAATTCTGCCCACACACAGGATCCTGAGGTGTGTCAAGGTTCAGCTGGTCATCATAGTATAGTTCTTCGAAGTACTAGTTTGTCATAGTCTTTATTTGCTAGCGTAAGAGCTGATCTGTGAGACCAACCTAGGTTGAGAGGATGCCATGAGCTGCCAGGGAAACTGGGGTTCAGGGCAGGGTGCCAGTTTCAGCAGCGCATTTTAGTTACGTGGAATGGCAGGTTGTGAAAGTGGTAGGTGGGTGTTATGAGAGCGGACAGGAATAATCACATTCTCCCTCACCAGTGGGAGCCCCCTGCTTGGGTCAGGTGCAATCCAGACCCCGGCAGAACTGGTTGAGCACCATCGATCCTTTGCCTGACCCAGTGCTTCGTGCTTCATACACATTAATGTTCATTGCTTGTATGAATGATTCCTCCAGCAAAAAGTGTATTTAAAAATGTTTAAATGAACTTTATCGAGCTGTGATTTACGTACTGTATATACCATTCAGCCGTTTACAGTGTATAACTCAGTGTGTGTTGGTATCTTCACAAGCGTGTATGTCCGTCACTGCAGTCAGGGTTAGAGTATTTTCTTCACCTCGGGAGAGAATCCCCGTGCCCTGCTTCTCACATGCCCCTCACCTTGCACCAGCACTTGCTGTTCTTCTGCTCTCCCTTGTGTAGGGCTCCCTATTCCAGCTTTCCATTTAAGTGCCGTTGCACAGTGTGTGGTCCTCGGGGCTCCTTTCACTCAGCATCGTTCCAAGGTTCATCTGCATTGTGGCCTGCGCCAGTACTTCACTCCTCTTCAGAGCTGAAGATTTCACCTTGCATGGGTGCACTGCATTTGTCCTTCCGCTTATCCACTGGACATTCGAGTTGTTTCACCCTTTTAGCTGTTATGAATAGGGCTGCTGTGAACATCCTTGGACCTGTTTCTGTGTGGATATACGTTTTCATTTCTGTTGGCTTTTCCTGAAGTGGGCAGCATTGCTGGGCTATACGGGCCCTCTGCATAATCAGTGGAGGGACAGGCAGACTATTTTGCAAAGTGGCTGAACCATTATACATTCTTTCACTTTAATATATTTATGTGTTTGAATTACAGTATGTCTCCTGTGGACGACACATAATTGGACCATGCTTTTTCAATACAGTCTGATAATCTCTGCCTTTTGCTTTGTCTGTTTATCTATTCATAATTAATGTTGTTATTGATGTAGTTGTTTGTATTTCTGCTGTCTTACTCTTTGTAATGTCTTGTGTCTTTTTGTCTGTGTTTTCCTTTACTGCTCTGTTTTGCATTTATTGAGTTCTAATGTTACATTTTAATTTTATTAATGATTTTCCCTGTTATTCTCTAAGCTTATAAGAATCAGCTTTGGATCTATAGTAGCTTCATTCAAGTAATATATAGAAATATTAACTCCTATATGGCTCTATTCCCCTTCCCCCTTGTGTGGTTGTATATATTTACATCTGTTGTTACAAACCTTACAATGTATTGTTATGATTTTACCGACTGTCATTATTTCTTCAGCTTGTTACAGTTTTATTTCCACATACCTCTTTTGTGCTGTTATTGGCTATTATGTTACTGATATACTTCTATATGTTATAAATCCTGCAGTATGTTTATATGTATATATAATTTCATACACTCTTAAAATCAATTAATAGAAAAATATGCACATTTATAGTGTCTTATAGTTACATAGTTGTACTGTGTGTGTGTTTGTGTGTGTGTGTGTGTGTGTGTGTGTGCGCATTAGGGATTGAATCTGGGGCCTATGGCATTTGGAGGTACATCCCAAACCCTTTTTAAATTTCATTTTGAGACAGGATCTCACTAAGTTGCCCAAGTTGACCTCAAACATGTGCTCCTCTTGCTTCAGCCTCCTGAATAACAGGGATTACTGGCATGAACCATTCCACTTGGCCTTTGTGCAGCTTTCAGTTACCATCTGGGCTCACGTTTTTGAAGAATTCCTCATGGTGTTTCTTACACGGTCTGCTAGCAGTGACTTCCCTCTTTGGAAAGTTTCTATTTCACCTTCACTTTTGAAAGATAACTTTCCTGGGAGTAGAGTTCTTGGTTGACAGTGTTTTGGGGGCTGTGTGTTATCCCGCTGCCTCCCGGCTTCTACTATTTCTGTAGAGAAACCAGCTAGTAATCTTATTTGTGCTCACTGTAAGGAACCTTGGATGTATGTATCATTGTTCTCTTGTTGCTCTTGAGGGTTTCTTACCGTTTTTACCACCCTGTGTCTATGGGTCTCTCTGTTTATCCCGCTTAGA